CGTTGTCACTATTAGAGTCTTTCTGATCATGATGAGATAATAACATGTCTGGTGACTTCCATATTCCACCCAGGCAGGGATCAGTAATTCACATGGCCTGTCCATGGTGAAACCACAATTAAAATCTTTTAATGTTAGACTTTCTCACTTCTCTTATCTCAGGCTTGACCCAGGCTGAAGGCTGCAGTGCACAAGAAGTTTGAGGTTTCCGGGGATCCTTCCACTTGCCCTTACTCACCATCTTCCTCCAACACACCCCACTCTGCAGCTATATGGTTCCAGTGTCTGTTCAACACAGGGAAGAACATGAGGTTAGGGTCGAAAAAAGTCTCTCTTACCTGAATGGAGCCTAGCAGCAATTTAAACCTGTCTCCCCTCTCCTTTTTTCTAGCTATTTTGGAGATTCCATCTTGGAGCCACAGTGCTTGGCAGTTCTCTGACATATGGCTTCTATGCAGATCCTTTGTGAGAATTTCCTCACCCCCCCCAGTGACCCCATTTTTGAGTTTATTTATGATTCTGATTTCCTCCCACTGTCCTCCCCAAACTTCAATGACACATATCAAGACCTCCAAGGGGCCTGCTTGTAGCCCATTCTCCCTAGTACTTCCAAAAAGTCTGTCATTTTTGTTTTGTACACTTAGCTGGCCTTTCAGGTACCCTAAGCAGGGCTCTTCTGGACTCTGGATCTCCCAGAGTCTGCAATGTTAATAAACACTGTCTCAAGGGGGAGTGGCCTGAGTCTGCAAGCTTATGGAAGATGGTTCCAAAGAAAAGTCCACATCAAACAAAAGAGAGTGAAAACACAGCCTCTATTTTAATGGGTCATCAAGGGAATCATGGGTTGACCCACACCATTCTGGATTTCTCATACTCCACAGGGAGCAGAGGAGGACAGTCCACATGGTATTTTGGCAAACAAAACCACTTCCCTGGTGTTTCAGCTTCTGCACCCACAGCCACTCTGCCAGGTCCTTATCCTCTCTGTGCTTCCCCAGGTCTTTACTGACCAAGATGCTCAAGATAGTTCTGAGGGCCACATTGTGTGTGAGGCTTTCCTGTGCCTTCCTCCTGCTGTCAGGGCAGATCTGGAGGATTGGCTTAGAGGGCCCTTTGTGTAAGATTGCTTGACTCTACTGATGGCTTCAGCCAGACTCCAGGACTGGGGAAGCCTGGAAAAGGACATGGGACCTAGAGTTACTTCATGGGAAAAGCACAAGGCCCCAGTAGTCCCTCTGCATTCCCACCTCACACATATGCACAACTGCACAGACAGATGCATGGGCATAAGGATCTACTTTGAGGTAACATCTGATTTGAAATGCCAGCTTTATAATTTCTTTGATCTCCTAATATACATGAGTAGATATCAAGAATCTCTACCTGGGTCCATTGAAATGTTTATTAGTTCCAGTTAGAACTGGTGATCGTATAGCATACATTTTTTTTCCAATTTATTTATTTGCATTCATTCACTGTACATCATTACAGCATACAAAATGAGATTTTCCATCCAGAGTACACTATATATTGTCTCAGTCAAGCACATCAACAAACATGTTATTATTAGCAAATGACTTTCCATTTCTTGTTTTCTGTATGTTTTGCCTTTCCCCCCCCCCCATCCTTGGTTCCCTATCTCTTACCCTCTGCCACCTCCTATTCTCCTCCCACACTGTCTCTGTTATCTATGTTTGCTTTCTATA